CCCGGGGGGCGGGGTGGGGTTTTCAATCTGAGGAAGGGGAGAGGGCCTATCCGCAGGAAACAGTCCCTCCTCTTCCATACCCCACTCCCCAAGCAGAACCTTCCACCTTCCCTCAGCATCACCTACCCTCTCTCACCTGGGATCCCGAGGCTTCTGGCTCCCTCGCCCGTAAAGGGGGACAACCTTTTCTCTGCTGATCCCAGCTTTACACACTGGGCACTCTTGCCGCTCTGGCCGTGCCTCCAGCCACTGGGGGAAAAAAATGTAGTGGTTTCCAGTACACAGAAGGGTCTTCCAGCTCCTCAGACCTCCCCATCTCCCTCTTCATGTCCTCTGCGTACGCACCTGATGGAGACAGGGCCAACTGGAAGGGGAACGAGAAAGGTCAAACCAGTTACACAAAAGAGACACAGACCCAACCTCAGAGTCCCATCTTTCCCCCTCTTACCAGGTGTTACCTGCTGTTTCTTTTCATATTCTCCACAACCTCTACCATACTAGCCAACTTGGCCTTGCTGCTTCTCTGATCTTCCAACACCTAAAGCTACATCCATCCTCAACATGCTCAACCCTCTCCTCTCTCCTCTCCCCCAGCAAACACACACACACATACAAATCCTCACCCCTCCCTTCTCTGCCTTTCGACTTAATTTCCAGTCCTGTTCAACCACCCATTTCCAGGTCTCCTCTTTCAGCCCCAGCCCTATCCTTGCCCCCATCACTCCCAAACCAAACCCCCTTTACCAGCACCTTCTCCCGCTACTCCTTTTCCTCTCTCCTATGCCCAACAAAGTCCCTATTTCCACAACTCCTTAACCTTTGGGGGCTGCCCCTCCACAGTGCCCTTGTCCCCAAGTTTCTCATACCACCCCTTGCCATATCTCACCTGCATGTGATCCCACCTTCCCTAGATGTCCCCCTACTCAACTGATGCGTGCCTCCCCTCACCTTTGAGTCTAATCCGATCCCACCTGTACAGCTAAGACCCCTCCCTTCCCTGGGGTAAGATGGCTCGCGTCTCGCCTGCACAGATGTGCAGTGCCCACCCCCTGCGCCCCACTTCCTCTTAACGCACCTCTTAACACAACTAGGTTGGCACCTAGTTGCTATGACTTTCCTCTCCACAGTTCTCCTCTGTACAGACGTGACCCTCTCGCCCGCACATACTCCAAAACACGTAAGAACCCCCCTCAAGCCTCACCTATGAGAATGTGCCCTCCGATTATTTGTATGACTGTATGGTCCTCCCCGCCCCCAGCCTCCCCAGTATAAATCTAAGCCCCACTCCTTTTCGCACCCCTCTCAGATTCTCACCAGTACAGGTGGCCACACACACTGACCACAGCTTCCCGAGCAGTCTCCAGACATATATTACATTCGAAGGTCGCGCCCGCCCCGCCCCGCTCGCGGTTTGGCCCTTCGGGGCCCCCGTCCTCCTCCTCCGCTGCTGCCATGGCCGGTACTGTTTTGCCCCCCGCGTGCCCCTTAATCCCCCGAAACACACATACAGACGCCGCAACAAACGAGAAACCGCCTCCTGCCCACGATCTTTTGGCAGGCTTCAAGGTTTTCTAATCACTATTGGTCTCAGTGTCTGCCAATCATACAGAATCGAAAGAAAGGACTGGTCCAAAGGGCGGGGGAGGAAAGAGGTTTACGCGGTCCCGCCCTTGCACAATGACTATTGGCTAAAACAGTCACAGTCAGTTTGCAATGCCATGGGATTGGTAAATATTCCATACGTCCTGTCGCCCCGGCCAGGGAGGGCTTTATTCGTCTGAGTAGTTGCCAGTCATAACCAAAGGCCAGAAGTAATTGGCTCAAGACTACTTAGACCTCGCCCACTACAAGCCCCTGTCTTTCTTTTACTTCCTCTTTCAGAGAACGTCCGGATTCCTTTGGACTTTGGAGCGTATAGCTCCAAAGCAACTAATTGGCTAGAACTCGACGGAAAATGGAGGCCAGGTAAAGCCCGCGTGCGCAGTAAGAGGAGGGATGGGGTGGGCCAATCCTATGAGAGTTGAGCTTTCTCTGGTCCCACCCCTTCACCGCTATACTGTCGCCAGGGTGACTGCTCTACAATTGGCAGGATTTGGGGTTCAAAAGCCTTGTCTCGGCCTCATCCGGGTCCTCCGACTGCGATCTCTCTCGACTGATTGGGCCGTTTTTTTCGCCCCTGATTGGCCGAGGTCGGAAAAGAAGGCGAAGAGCTCGGAAAAGAGGACAAATGCTAGGGTCGCAGGGTTCAAAATGGCTACGGCTTCCTTCGGTGACGTAAAGAGCAGAACTTGGGTCCGCCCCTCCCTCTTAGTGAAGAAGGGAGCAGAACTGGGATTAGCCCGACGTTTGGATGGTGCGAGCATCGATCTGCGGCGCTGGTGTTAACCCATCTCCCTCGGCTGGACGACTCAGCCCGCCCCTCTTTAGGTGATTTACAGAGCAGAAATGAAGTGAAGGCCCATCCCCTTTTTAATGTGACACAGAGTAGAACAGAGTTGCCCTAGACACCGTTTTAAACCTTAAGAGCCGAAAAGGTCTAGCTCCACCCCTTTGTGAGTGGGTGAAGAGGCAAGATCCACCCCCTTTTAGGCGACCCGCGGCGGAAAGGGGTTAGGCCCGCCCCTTCCTTCTTGTACTGTGCCCCGCAGAACTGGGGTCTTCCTCCTGGGCTGGACCCCTGGGACTTGGGCAAGCTGCTTCAGAGTTTGGGCCTTTCGTACGAGTCTGGGCCTTTTCTACAGTCCCTGGCCCTCACTGTGGCTCAAGGAGCAGAACTAGGTAACAGTCCTCCCATTACCAGTGTTCTTTACATCTTGTTCCTCAGGGCGTGTAAACTCTTTCAGGGCAAAGGTATCTAGTGGGGGTGGAGGCCAGACACAAGCTGAGGGTTCTTCAACAACATCCTGATAAAAGATCCCACGTGACTCAGTGAGGAACGGTGAGAAGTTAGGAGCTGCCTACGGCAGGGGAGGTTAGTGTTCCGGAAGCGTGTAGAGGTTTAGGGGAAAACCCTATTGAGAGGCAGAAGTGGAGACCAAGAAGGGAGGAGTGATGGAATGATCCTGATAAGGGGATGATGGGAGTATGGGGGAGAGGGCAGCAGGGGCTGGAGAGAGAGCTAGGTACATACTACAAAATTAAGGAGGCATGCTTATCCCAGAGGAATCAGCATTCTTCCTCACTTATTTTTTCAAGAAAGCAACCCTAATGCCCAGTTTCCATCGGAAGAAGAGTACATTTTTTCTACGTTGAGGAGAGGGGTAGTCTCAGCTTGGGTGAGTAAGGAGACTGATAAGGAAGGAACTAGAAAAGAAAAGGTACTGAGGTTAAAGTACATCACAGAAGGAAACGGGCAGGGAGAGGGCCTGAGAGCGTCCCTTCTCTCCAAAGCCCAGGAAGGGGTGGGGGGTGGGAGGAGGTCAGTGGAGGAGGGAGTTGGACTGCTGGGAGATAGTGGCAGGGACAAAGGGCTGGAGGGTGAGGTGGGGTGAGATGGAGTCCTGGAGAGAAAAAGAAGAGAGGTGAAGAACTCAGAGCTTGGCATATAGTAGGTGCTTGATAAATATTTGGACTTGAATGGGGGAACAGGAAGAGGGAGATGGAAAAGGGTTGGAGTTGGAGGGAATAAGCAGCAGATGTGGGAGTTAAAGAGAAAAAAAGAAACAAGTTGACAATAAGAGGAGAGCTGATGGAGAATGAGAAGGAACGGGCCAAGGAAGGAATACAGCACCAAGGGACACGCAAGCCATGTGTGCTGA